TGGAGGCAGTGCTTGCAGGCAGGAGCTGTGTACGGAGGGAGCCCTCTACCCCGCCCCACCCCTCCCCTGGGGCCATGCTGGCCACTTCCAGGAGTGGCATGGGGCTGGGGCAAGCAGGGAGCCTGTCGTAGCAGCAGCCCTGCTGTGCCGCCAGAGATCGTGATCAACTGGGAGATCCTCTACGATCGACCGGTTGGTGACCACTGGCATAGATGGCTCCTCTTGTTGAAATGTTTCATAGATTCAGAGATTCCAAGGCCAAAAGGACCATTGTGATCATTTAGATTGGCCTCCCGTATAACACAGGCCATAGGACTGCCCCAAGATAATTTCTAGAGCAGATCTTCTGGAAAAACATCCCATCTTGATTTAAAACGTGTCCATGATGGAGAATCCACCAGAGCCTTTGGTAAATTGTTCCAGTGGTTAATTACTCTCACTATTAAAAATGTACATCATATCTCCAGTCTGAATTTGTCTAGCTTCAACTTCCAGCTGTGTTATACCATTCTCTGATAGATCGAGGAGCTTATTATTAAATCTTTGTTCCTTGTGTAGGTACTTATAGATTGTAATCAAGTCACCCCTTAACCTGCTCTTTGTTAAACTAAATAGATTGAGCTCCTTGAGTCTATCACTCTACGGCATGTTTCCTAATCCTTTAATCAGTCTCATGGCTACTCTCTGAACCTTCTGCAATATATCAACATCCTTCTTGAATTGTGGATCAGAGCTGGACACAATATTACAGCAGCGGTCGCACCAGTGCCATAAAATAACCTCTCTACTCCTACTTGAGAGTCCCGTGTTTATAGATCCAAGGACTGCATTAGCCCTTTTGGCCACAGAGTCACACAGAGCTCATGTTCAGTGGATTATCCACCACAACCCCCCAATTCTATTCAGACACTGCATCACCCCAGGATCGAGTCCCCCATTGTGTAAGTAGGGCCTACATTCTTTGTTCCTCAATGTAGACATTTAGGGTACGTCTATACTTACCCTCTGGTTCGGCAGCAAGCAATCGATCTTCTGGGATCGATTTATCATGTCTTGTCTAGACGCGATAAATCGATCCCGGAAGTGCTTGCCATCAATGCCGGTAATCCTGCTCCACGAGAGGAGTAGGCAGAGTCGACGAGGGAGCCTGCCTGCCGCGTGTGAACCTGCAGTAAGTAGCTTTAAGTTCGAACTAAGATACTTCGACTTCAGCTACGTTATTCACATAACTGAAGTTGCGTATCTTAGTTCGAACTGGGGGGTTAGTGTGGACCAGCCCTTACATTTAGCCATATTAAAATGCCTATTGTTTGCATGCACCCAGCTCACAGAGCAATACAGCTTGCTCTGTATCAAATGCCCTGTTCTCTTCATTATTTACCACTCCCCCAATTTTTGTGTCATCGGAAAACTTCATCAGGGATGATTTTATGTTTTCTTTCCTTTTAACATTCCTGTTGTGTGGATCATCCCACCCAGTTTCAGAAATGCCAGGTCAAATTTATGCTCATCCATAAGCAATTCCAATTCCTCTAGTTTGTTACCCAAGCTCCTAGCATTAGTGAAGAGGCAATTAAAGAATTTCTCCTTTTCGTGTTCTTTGGTTAATGTTGGTCTCAACATCTCAATTTCGATTGGCATGGAGCCACACTGAAGTCGGCTGGGCATTTGAGGGGCATGAGAGTCTCTTTGCGTTGTTCCAGTTGCAAGAGCAGGCCCAAATATTTTTTACATCTTCCTTTTCTAAGGGCCACACCTTAGAGCAAGGGCGTCATGGTTTGGCCCTATGCATATAAGCCAATAATAGTGCAACTCAAACAACTTTAATTGGTCCTGATTTCTAGGGTTCAAATCTTATTTAGCCAAATGTATCTGCCATAATAATGGTTCTTTTAAAGAGCAATTCTTTCATTGACTTACCTGTATATTTCTGGAATAACTACCTGGCACTCAAAGAAACATAGGGGATGGGTGGTTGGTACCCATAGCAACTGGAGACACACTCTTCCACCTGGCATGAATGACAGAGGGGATGAGTTGGGGAAGGGCTGAGGGGGGGATTGGAACCAGACTGTGAACCCCTTTGCTCACATGAGAAGTTAATGGGACTGTCCCTATAACTGCTTGTCAATGCGAGTAAGGTGCACCCAGCCTGGTCCTCAATTTCTTACGTTGTTAGTGCTGCTTTGTGCAATCCCCTGATTTCTGCATTTACGGAAAGAAAGCAACATTTGCCAAGGGAGCTGATAAATTGGGTATCTCCCAAACTGCGTAGCTGAAATGCTGCAGACGTGCAGCAAAAAAGTGTTTGACAAGCTTGACTGTGTGAGATTCTGATGATCACTCTACTTCCATCATTTCCAAGGTGCCTTATCGAGATATTTTTTCACTTACTGTTTTAGGGATTTTCAGGTGATACAGATGAGTCTCTTCCTTTCAAAGTCCATAAAAGTTAGGCATTAGATTTGCCTGAGGGATTGAATATAGGATATAGAGCCTTTAACTCACAGACTGGGCTTGGATTCAGCTAGCGTGAAGCAGTGTGGTACGCTGGCCCCTATCTCAAGCTGCTATCTTCTCCGGAATTTCAGCCTTTCTTCTCTCTCTCTGTCTTTAAGGCTACGTCTACACTAGCACTTATGTCAGCAAAACTTTTGTCGCTCAGGGGTATGAAAAAGCACACTACTGAGCGACATCCATTTTGCCAGCATAAGCACTCGTGTGCACAGCGTTATGTTGGTAGGAGACACTCTCCTGCCGACATAGCTACTGACGCTCGTTGAGCGGGTTTTATGATGTCGACTGGAGAGCTCTCTCCCATCAGCATAAAGTGACTACATGGGGACTCTTGGCACAGCTATGCTGGCGCAGCTGTGCCGCTGTAAGCCTGTAAGTGTCGACATGGCCTAAGTGTCTAGCTGTTCCGGTTGTAAAGGAAACCTTATAAATGTGAACTGAGCGTAACCAATGCAGAGGTATCCGGGTGAGTCCGCAGAGAGCCTGGAACAACAGCTCCAAGAGGTGTGAACTGCCATAATTCATCTCAGAGAGGTGTTAACTGGGATGCCTAGTGATGGTCACTTACATGGCAAGATTGTTAACTCTTTCAGAAGGAAAGGAGAGGGAGGGTCACCAGCGCCTCCCCCTCTCCTCCAGTGCCTCTCTCCTGCCGCCATCAGCTGTTCTGCGGTGTGCAGGAGGC